AAAGAAAATATACAAAACATAAGAGTATTGTAAGAAAGAATCCTTCATGACAATTATTTGTAAAATACACAAACAAAAAGATATTGTAGTTATAACACAATTGTTCACATTATAAATGAATATACAGAACAGGTAGGAATCAAAAAAGTCTTTATGTTCATCATCTCTCACCACGATCACTTATAACTCTAACATACTTTACAAACTTTGTTGCATTCCGTAACCCGACCCGACTAATTTGATTTCGTCGAAGATAAATTGTCCGCATCATATCTCCAAATTCATGACTTTGAGCAAATGCCAAAGCAGCAGATTTATCCATCGCCTTAACGATATTATTAGCGCCCACATCACCAATCATATTCCCTTCGAGGTCCACAATAGATAAACTGGAATTTAACAGTAATCCATCAGCAAGAACTTCGGCACCGCGACCTTCAATGTAATTTTCGGCCAGTACCAATTTCTGCAGGGTATTATTTTTCTCTAAAGCTTTGGCGATCGCTTCGCACCCCTTATTCCCAATTTTGGCGTGGTCTAAATTAAGAGAAACGAGAGATTGGTTGACCTCTAAGGCCTTTGCGAGGTATTCAGCACCTTTATGACCAATTTCATTGTTGCCAAGATCAAGAATTCGTATATTACATCGTTTGTGTTCAAGCACAGGTATTAGATTTTCGACACTTTTACTACGAATATTATTCCAAGAAAGATTAAGTTGTTCTATAGTGAAATTGGATGCCAAGAATCTGCAAAAAAGTTCCATCCCCTTATCTCCAATATTATTTCCTGCCAAATCCAAATGTCGAAGTGTCTCGTTTGATTCTAACGACTTTGACAAATATTCTACACCTTGATCCCCAATACTATTATCAGCGAGAATTAAGGTTTGCACCGTATGATTTTTCTTTAACGCTTTTCCAAGCAACACAGCCCCCGTTTTCTCAATCTCACTTCCTTTTAGATTGATGCTCTCAACCGTTTCATTTCCCATCAACACGTCAGTCAACATTAAACAATGTGCCCCCGGTTGAAAGTCGATTAGATGAAGTGACCGAACAGCGGGATTATATTTAAGGATATTTCGGAGCTGTTCTGAACTCCTCACATCGGCAGCATATAATCGCAGCGTGGACAGCGTACTCAACTCTTCCTTATATTCTTGCTGCAGTAATTCAATTTTCCGCTCTAATGTCATCATGTACATATTTATTCCACGAAATGCTTCTTTGAATGGCTCAAATTTACACACTCTTAAATGTTCAGAAAATTGTTTTCGTTCGAATTCCTCAGTGCAGCCCCCAAAACTTCCGAGAATATTTCTGTGTGGGCATTTTATTATTTTTCCCAGACATATTGTGTCGTGATCATCCAGTTGATAGTAGAATATTGTCATTTCACATCTGTTGCATGTGACCTCACGATTTATACAGTCTTCGTCACAGTGTTCCTGTGTATGTTTTTAGCATAATAAGTCAAGAGAGGAGATTTACATACATACATATACATACATATGTGTGATTGATTGCCTTACCTTAACTTCTTCCATTTTAAAGAACTTTTTGGGACATTTCAGCGGACACGCAATCATTTTAAAGGTACATTCTTGACGATGTTTTTCTATTTCTTTTCTTAAGAAAGTCTCCTTACAGTAAGGGTGATCCTCGTGTTCATTACAATTGACGGGCACGAATTGACATATCAACTAATAAAAAAAAAGAAAAAAAAACCGAGTATGAAATGATATCACAATAAGCTATTATCATGGTATTTTTGGTGAGAAGAGGGATAAAAATAAAACCTGTAAATGCTGACGAAGTCCTTCGCGTGTTCCTTGCCACTCACAGGCAGGAGAGTACGTGCAGTACACCTCCAACTGATCCAGTACATCCTGAACTCTAATCGCGGTCTGTAGGTCACTCTCATGACAAGGAGTCCTACATATGGGACACTTTCGGTTACTGGCTAGTGCTTGAACAATGCAAGAATGACAAAATAAATGCTTGCAGCGTCTTATCCGTTTCACAATGTCAAAGACGTCGTGACAAATTGAGCAGTAGAGATCTTCGTCTATTGTATCGGGTATTACGTATTTGTATTCTTCGCGTGGTGGTGTAGGGTTGGAGTTGCGTTTTTGTTGATAAGTTACGGCCATTCGAATAGTTGGGTAATTTTTGTTTATTTATAATGGAGAGCTAGCGAAGGCTAGTATACTTTTTATTGTGGGTGTGAGTTAGAGTAGATTCTATGAAAGTGAAAGTAGAAAATAGCACAATTAGAATCCAATTCAACAAAGATAATTGATGATTCAAATATCGACATGAAAACATGAAAAAATATAATTACTAGCAAAAAATTCTCACGAAGAAAAACAGAGAAATGTCTATGGTTCATAAGAAAATTCTAATTTTTGTTTGCAGGTATATATAGTTTATATGTATCGTATCAACATAGATTTCGTATAGCCAAGCACCACAATGATGATAATATAATAAACTACCACATGTATTTTGTAACTATACCCTAAATAGACATATCATTGGATTTGTATGGATCTTTATGTACAACAATAAACAGTAATCTCAATGTGTGCATGATGCAAGTAAGAGAATGTCAAACGGATTTCCGAGATCATTGCAATTGCCGAGAGACCGCGAAATAAATGTCACGCCGGAATCCGGCGAACAAGAACAATATTATGATAAGAGTTACTTTGATTCCGAAGAAGAGGAAGAAAATGGTGCATTACATAATGGTTTTTTTTCCCTATTTTTATTCTCTATGCAAAGGTACAAACAAAATGTTGAATAAATTTTTCTCCAAGATTCTATAATCGAGAAATATAAGAAACCTAGCGATGACGAGCTTCTGTATGACCCTGATTTGGATGAGAAAGATGAGATTTGGATGCAGAGAAAACTTTCAAGTAATTATTTAATTTGATGGGTCTCGTTTTTTTCGTCGTTCTAATTCTTAATTTTTAATTTAGAAAATATAATAACAAAAGACAATAAGAAGCCTCTGAAGAAATCTTCAGCCTCCTCCGAATCGCGAACAGATGCGGTTCTTTCATGTCCATTGTGCTTCACTCCACTTAGCTACCATACACAGAGGTACATGTTTTCTATTCTTACCGACACCACCATAATTAAACTAACACTTTTTCTTACTCGTTATTTGATTTATTTGATTCATTCGGTGCCAAAATTACAAAAGACACGTCATGTATCCTACCCAATATCGAGCAATATTCGTCGAAAACTGCAAAGTTATTTCGACATCGTCGTCATCAAATCACATTTACAATAATAAAGAGATACCTTTCAATTCCGATAATAATGATGATGATGAGGATGATGATAACAATATCTACTTTCCAGTGGAATGCGAAATTTGTGGCACAAAAGTCGGCGTATTTGATAAAGACCAAGTGTATCATTTTTATAATGCAATTCCATCTTAATAAGAATGATAGAGAAAAAACCATTACCATAGAATCTTTATTGGTGTATGAACTCAAACGATAAACAACCTGAATATTTTATTTAGAATATTCAATTCTTAGCTATCAGTCAGTCAATGAATCAATGATTCAAGGAAATGATCTATTACAGTTATATGACATCACCATAAAAAGAATTTCACAAAAATGATGCATTTGACGCCATCCTCATCCGAACGAACCTTATTGATTAGTATTATGTTCGTAACGATCTACAGCAAATCTTGTACGTTCATCGGCATTTCATCGATCTGTGTACTATAATACTGTTCAATATCACGCAGAATACGCACGTCTTCAGATGTCACAAAATTGATAGCAACACCTATCGTATCGTATAGTATATAGTTTAATGGTCGTATATAATGTCGATCTCAGATTAATAAAATAAAATAATATCTGATATTTACCTCTCCTTCCAAAACGTCCTGACCGACCAATACGATGAATATAAAGTTCACGATTGCTGGGTAGATCATAATTTATCCTATATAATTAATTTTATGCAATAAGTAAATAAATTTTTAATCGTAAGGTAACACAACCAGCTAAAAATAATAAAATAAAGCGGTATCTTTACACAAGAGAAACTTGCTGTACATCAATTCCACGAGCCCACACATCTGTCGTGATTAACACTCGACTACAACAACAAATAAATAATTTAGGTATAAATAGAAATCACCTAACGTTTCGATAAAAATAAATACCTCGCACCCTGTCGAAATTCTTGCATGATTGCATCGCGTTCTTTTTGTGGCATATCTCCATGCATAGATGATACCGTGAAATTTGCTTCTCGCATCTTATCAGTCAGCCAATCAACCTATTAATAAAATTATAGAAAACAATAGTCATAATATTATAGTGATGATAGAATAATGACAACACAACAAATCGATAACAATAAGTCGCTCGCTGTTGACGCCTTACCTTTCTCCGTGTATTACAAAAGATAACGGCCTGAGTAATAGTCAACGTATCGTATAAATCACATAAAGTATCAAACTTCCATTCCTCACGTTCAACAGCCACGAAAAACTGTTTAATTCCTTCCAATGTCAATTCATCACGTTTCACCAAAATACGAATTGGTTCCGTCATGAATTTTGTAGTCATTTCCAGAACATCGTAAGGTAAGGTAGCGCTCAGCAGGACAACCTGTGTATTCGGGGGTAAATATCTATACACATCATATATTTGGTCCTTGAACCCTCTATTTAATAGTTCATCTGCTTCGTCTAGTACTAGCATTTTGATATGTCTAGTACGAAGATTTCTACGTCGGATCATATCAAATACTCTTCCTGGTGTGCCGGAAACCACATGTTGTCCGTGATCAAGTTTCCGAATGTCCTCCCCAATACTTGTGCCCCCAATACAGGCATGACACTGGACATTCATGTAGTCACCAAGTGCTAGAATTACACTTTGAATCTGTGTTGCTAATTCTCTTGTAGGTGATAATACAAGCGCTTGGGTCTCTCGGATTGTTGTGTCGATACATTGTAAGATGGAAATGGAAAAGGTGGCTGTTTTACCAGTGCCAGATTGTGCTTGAGCAATCACATCACGTCCTTTCATAATAGGAACTATGGCCCTTTGTTGAATAGCTGAGGGCTTTTCAAAATCTAACAAAAGACATTTTAATTTACGTCATATTTCTCGGCAAATCGCAAATTTGTGTTATCTATAAAAGATGCTCACTATAGGCATAAATCCCTCTCAAAAGATCTTCTTTGAGCCCAATAGAATCAAATGTTGGCACTCTGTAATTTAAATTAATT